AAAAAAGCCCCGATGGCGAAAATAGCGATCGGGGCTTTTTTGCGCAAAAGCGCATCCAGATTGGCACGGACGCTTTTCTGCAAAAAGTGCTTTTGCAGAAAAGCGTCCATGCCAATCTAGACGCTCTTTTCTGCAAATGCTTTTAACGGAAAACTTTTCCGTTAAAAGCATTTGCGGAAAATCGTTCCAGTCTAGACGTAGCCTAGGAGTCTAAGTCTGTGGCCAAGGGAGGAACAGAACCCAGGTTTACAACACCCAGAAAGATGCCTCAGCCCCAAACTCCTTCCTTCCTCCCCCTTCCCCAGGAACAAACCCATGAGCCTCAAAATTATTTCATAAACTCCCAGCCCCGGCAACGCCTGTTTCCAACTTACGCTTGACACGTGGGCACCACCGAGTGGCTGAGATGGGGGCTGCTCATAGTTTCAGCATGCAGCGAGAAAAGCCCCCCGAGCAGGTAATCCCCAGGCAGATGGAAATCAGAATACTGCGTCTCTGAGCCCACCATAGCCAGCATGACACTAATGCACACAGCTGACGCCAGGGTGCTCCTCATGGCTCCACGGTGCCTTTCGAAGTAGCTGCTAGCGAGCACCCGGGGGTGGTTTCTTGCCCAGGCTCAGCCAGTGCTGGGACTGCCAATCAGGTGCCTATGTTCACAAATTTCACCTGACTTATTTCCATACATGTCAAGGGCTGGGCCAGATGGATTTGTGTGTGTTTACATTTTGCATGGACTGTTGCATTGCCATGGGCAGGGCTATGCATTGGATGGGACACGCCTGGTCTGGAAAAGGAAATGCTTTTTAAGAGACGGCGGGCATGAGGCTGGTGTTTGATGAAAGATGGCTCTGCCTGTGCGTTGGGCCGGCGCTCAGCAGAAATCAATCAGGCTCCTATCCATGGGGAGGCAACAGGGCCTCGTTGCTAGGGTTACTGGCCTGGAGAGCTGGATTCTGGTCTTCCTTTAGCCACTGGCCTGCTGCAGGATTCTGGCCAAGCTGAGACTTCCAGTGGGCAAGGGTAGGCTGGGATTGACAAATTGGAAGACGCTGGTGTGTCTAGTCATTTCCCCGTCTCTGTGCAGTCAGTTTCCTCTGGTTCCAAGAACTACGTATATAATTTACAGTAGAAAAGCACGGTTCCAAAGCCCCGGGGAACCCCAGGAGCAGGCATGGGACCCAACGATTTATTTGTTTAGGGCAGGGATGGGGAACCTCAGGCCTGGGGGCCGGACGTGGCCCCCGGCTTGCCTGGATCCAGCCACAAGGCTCAGGGCTCCCCCCAACATTGGGGAGCCTGTGCTGCCCCACTCCAGCCTCTCTACTGCCCCGCTGCAGGGCTGGAGCACCCAAAAGTCTGGGCCCCCTTAGGCTCTGCTGTGAGAGGCAAATGTGGGGAGTGTCGGTCTCCTTCTCAGTCAGGGGCCACATCAGTGAGGCGGGGTTGGGTTTATTTTCTTTGTCTGGTTTTGCTTCTCACTTGTGTGCAGGCCCCGGCTGATTTTATTGTGGGTCAGCAGACCTTGACCCTAAAAAGATTCCCACCCCTGGCTTAGGGTTTATGTTTTCAGTAGTGACCAGAGATTTTCTCACAGCTAGGGTATGTCTAGACTACATGGCTCCGTCGACGGAGCCATGTAGATGAGTTTACTAGACGTAGGAAAAATGAAGCGGCCACTTCATTTAAATCAAAATGGCCACCGCGCTGTGCTGATCAGCTGTTTGGCGGCACAGCGGGGCAGTCTGGATGCGCCACGGTCAACAAGGGAAGCCTTTTTCAACCGCTCCGGTATGCCTTGTGAAATGAGGTTTACCGGGGCGGTCAACAAAGGCTTCCCTTGTCGACCGCGGCACGTCCAGACTGTCCCGCTATGCCGCCAAACAGCTGATTGGCATAGCGCGGCGGCCATTTTGCTGTAAATGAAGCAGCGATTATGTCTATGTCTAGTAAACTCAGTCAACGGAGCCATGTAGTCTAGACATACCCTCCGAGGCAACTTTTAAAGGGGCCTGATTTTTCAGAACACTATGGCTACATCTAGACTGGCATGATTTTCCACTAATGCTTTTAACGGAAAAGTTTTCTGTTAAAAGCATTTTCGGAACAGAGCGTCTAGATTGGCACGGACGCTTTTCCACAAAAGCACTTTTTGCGGAAAAGCGTCCGTGGCCAATCTAGACGCGCTTTTCTGCAAAAAAGCCCGATTGCCATTTTCGCGATCGGGGCTTTTTTGCGGAAAACAAATCTGAGCTGTCTACACTGGCCCTTTTGTGCAAAACTTTTGCGCAAAAGGGACTTTTGCCCGAACGGGAGCAGCATAGTATTTCCGCAAAAAGCACTGATTTCTTACGGTAGGAAGTCAGTGCTTTTGCGGAAATTCAAGCGGCCAGTGTAGACAGCTGGCATGTTTTTCCGGAAAAGCGGCTGATTTTCCAGAAAAACTGGCCAGTCTAGACACAGCCTCTGAGTGTAGCCACTCGAAATGCTGGTTCCCTCCACTTCAGGCACCCGCCACCACCTGTCACTTTCAAAAGCTTGGGCTGAATTGTGATGGTAAATATGGCTGGGGGGGAGCTCCTCGTGTAACACCTGCAAGGGGTGAGAGATCTGGTTGAAAATTAGGATTTCTGGATCAGTGGCTCTGCGTAGGACTCTGTGCACAGGATATCCTATGCTAATTGCAGGTGGATATTGAGCACTGATCAACTACAGCTCTTGAAAGCCGCTCTTGTGAGCAGTGGCCAGAGACGGTTCTTGAAAGGCCAGCGTGGCAGGTTCGCCATTGGGCCTGGGGGTCATCTGACTCCCGGAATTAGCTCAAGTTTCTTTTTCTTCCCTGTAGACAGGAATCTAGTTATCAAGGGGTGGAGGTTGGGGAGGGGAGTGTCCTCCCTGAGTCTGGTTTCTCAAGGCCACGATAACTTGCCACAATATCTGGTCTTTTCTCACACACACCCTGCTAATTCTTCCTCTCTATATGCCGGCCTGTCAGTGCTGCAGCTGCCAGCTTCACACAGGCAACTCACCCTGCAAGCAGACGCAGCACCAATTCGCCGTGGAAGGGAATTGATTTAAATTCATCCTGCGCATGAAGAGAAAGAGCAGGAGCTTAATCCCTGCTAGAAGATTTGCGTTTCACTATCAAATGCCTGTGGCTCCTGCATAGTTGTGCCCCTATTGTAAAGGGCCATCTCTGAGTGTGTGTATCTGGTAGTACTCCGAGGCCTCCAGTTAGGATCCAGGCCCCATTGTGCTAGGTCCGACTCCTGGACAACGACAGAGGAAGATTTAATTGTGTAAAGTGTGTGATTTCCTGTGTTCTAGGGAACAGGGCCCCGGGATCTACCCTGAGAGAAATGGGAGGCAGTGTGGGCTAGCAACTACAGCATGGGTCAGAGGCAAGGGGAGTGAGGATTCTATTCCTAGCCCTCTGTCCTTGACTTCCGGCATGACCGTGGGCAGCTTGCTGTTCCGCTCTGTGCCTCAGTTTCCCCCATCGGTAAGGTGGTGATACTGACCTTCTTTGTACAGCACTTTGAGACACAAGTGCCTAGTAGGGTTGCAAGATACTTTCACAAAAAATACTGAACATGGCGGGAAAAAAATTGGTTGAGTGAAAAAAAGGGGACCAAAGTTGTTGAGCAAAAAAAAAAAAAAAAAGGCCCCCCCCCCTTTAAACCCCCCCCCCCCCAACCACCACCACCACCAGATGCGGCAGGGGAGGAATGTCCCAAGCAGCCTTCTGTCTGAGAAAAACAGAAAATACCAGACATTTTACATGTCCAGTATTTTCTTTTTTTTAACCGGACAGAGGCTGCAAATACCAGACTGTCCAGGCCAATACTGCACACCTGGCAACCCTAGCACCTAATTATCATCACAAGATTTCACTATTGCCCCACTGCTAATGGGGCAAGTGCCTTTCCAGCCACAAGAAATTAGGAGCACTTCTATCCCCGCTAGCCCGTCACATGGATCTAGAGTCACTTCTGAGTTCTGCAGGGGCCATCTGGCCAGAGAGGGATGCTAAAATCCAGGCTGGCCTCGGAGCTCTGAATGGCCACACAGAACTTGGATTTGGTAGGCAGGGCCAGTCCTAACCAATTGGTGGCCCCGAGCAACTGCCCGGCTCGCCCGTAGGGTTGCCAGATGGTTTAAAAAAATACCGGACAAAAATTTGTCAAGCAAAAAAAAATCCTCGAGAGAGCGGGCCGAAATGCGATCGTGGTCTGCACCTAAGACCAGCTCTGTTGGAGGCCCCTTGAAAATGGCAGCCCCGGGTGACGGCCCAGCTCACCCGCCCCTAAGACTGGCACCTGTCACTCTCCTACCAGCCGAGCCAAACTGAGTAGACTCTGCCTCTGAAATATGAAGGACTGAACCAGCTCTGCTAGGAGTCAGACTTGTGTTTTCCAGGTGTCTGCTCACCAGCAGCCTGACACGAAGGTCACTAAGGGCTAAGACTTCTGCTAACTCTTCTTTAGATGGTGAGCTCTTTGGAGGCAAAGAGTATCTTTTAGCTCAGTGGTTGTACAGCGCCTAGCACAAAGGGTCCCATGACTTTTAGGTGCCACATTAATATGAATGATAAATTCCTGCGAGGTGCTGAGGGCACGCAGCTCTCCCTCTCACAATAAATCATCGTTCTTCAAATTCCAGAGCGAAGGTCACGAAGCCATGAGAGGTAGAGTGTTGGCATTTGCCATTGGCATCCACCAGGCCACAAAACAAGCAACTGACCACCTATGTTTAGCAACAGCAAAGTTTTCGGGACACCAAGGGGTTTTAAAAGGACAGTGCCTGGTTCGAATTCGCTGCCTGTGTTACCAAGAACCACTTGAACAATTAAAATGGAATTAAAAAAAAAAAACGAATGGCCTTTCCACTTCCCATGTTGTTTGTTTGTTCTTGCTACAATTTTCCCAGCTTAAGCAATTGGAGAAGGTCCAGAGAAGAGCAACAAAAATGATTAAAGGTCTAGAACACATGAGCTATGAGGAATGACTGGAACAATTGGGCTTGTTTAGTTAGAAAAGAGACGACTGAGAGGGGTCATGAGAGCAGTTTTCAAGTATCTAAAAGGGTGTCACAAGGAGGAGGGAGAAAAATTGTTCTTGGCTTCTGAGGATAGGACAAGAAGCAATGGGCTTAAATTGCAGCAAGGGAGATTTAGGCTGGACATTAGAAAAAAACGTAACTTTCAGGGTGGTTAAACAGTGGACTAAATTGCTGAGGGAGGTTGTGGAATCTCCATCACTGGAGATATTTAAGAGCAGGGTAGAACAAGGGACGGTCTAGATGGTGCTTGGTCCTGCCGTGAGGGCAGGGGACTGGATTTGATGATCTCTCGAGGACCCTTCCAGTTCTAGTGTTCTATGACTCTATAGCCTGCAGGCTGTGGGGGGCAGCTGGAGGGGGAAGCATCTCCCTGAGCCTCACCACCTCCCAACAGCTTGCAGGCTGTGAAGGGGCTGCTGGAGGCTGGGGGCAGACCCCAAGCCAAGCCTCTGCCCCAGAAAGTCTGCAGGGGGGGCTGCTGGAGGCCAACCCCCA